TATATATTATGTGTATTATTTTTATTACTTTTATATATATAAAAAATAATAATGATGTACATATAAATCCACATTATTTTTTATATAATAATTACACAAGTGTATTCAAATATCTGTGTTTATAATGTAAATCGATTTATCAAACAATGTACTTTCTGCAAACATGCATATAATTTTACAACTATTCATTAACTATCAGTGCCAAATAATCAACTCTTATTTTATTTTATAATGTTCTTATATTTATGTATCTTTATTATTTTACATATTTTATGAAATTTGAATTTAAATTATAATTTTTGTGGAGCTGCTCAAAATGTGAAGTTGAATATATGTTATTTTAGATTTTTGATTAGTACTGATTTTAAAATTATTGTGTGATTAATTGGCTGTAACCAATGCAGTGCAAAACTAATAAATTAATATTAAAATAATATGGCATTTTAAAATAAATGTATTGTGACTTTTTTTATTTGCTATACCAATTTACTCTTAAGTTCAGTTAATTTATTTCTTATTTCTTCCTGTTTATCGTTCTAATAATAACAAAACATTAAATGCATTTGATAGTCAAATTTTTTATATTTGATATGCAGAAAATATGCAATACCAGAATTATAGCAATCTGTATTCTTACTAATAATAATCTGTATCCTTATTAATGTATTTGACAAAATTTATTTTACTTTTATTTGATTAAGGCTTTATTTAATTAATTCTTTTATTTTATTCATTATTTTTTATTATAATATTTAATTGCTTATTATTTTTCACTTATTAGGGAACTTCCCAAATCCATAAATGATTTGAATAAAACTTTGTACATATGTAGAAAGAGTAAGTATAAAAATTTTCAGTTAGTGCCAAAAACTATTTCAAGGTGTAAACTCATTTCTCAAAGATTCAAGGACTTTTGATATTTTCTTTTTCGATATTTTTCATAAACTACTTAAAATATCAAAAAATGTATTTTACAAAAATTTTATATTAAAAACATCTCTATTTATTGCGATTAATAAAAAAATAATTTTCTTTTAATTTTGATTTTTGCATTCTTTATGTTGAAGAAAATTTGTTGCATTATAACATATCAGGAAAATAATTTTAGTCTAAATATTGAAAGCCATTTATATATAATCGCAATAATTAGACAAAAAACTTTCTTGAATTCTTTTGAACAGAATATGTTTAAAGGAATATATGTTGGAATAAATATTATCAAATAATTCATTAAATAAATCGAAAATTAAAATTTTTTTTTACTCTTGTATTTACCGCATTTACATATGTGCAA